AAACGCCGTGGTGGACGTTCAAAAGTAAAGAACTCCTCAAAGACAGGGACCCTTATTAAACGAGAAGTCGAAGCTTCACACGACACCAAAACCATCGAAGTAGCGCCACTAATTAATAAGCATAGAACAATTGAGGAAATTCAAAGAGAGGGAAAGGTTTCCACTATTAAAACTAATATCTTCCACCGAAGCCCTCTAGCTTTCAGAAGAGAAGTCACAGAAAAATTACATTACTCTGTGATTTTCAACCCCAAATTCCCGTTCCACCGAGGCACAGTCATGAACAACCACGACTTAAAAAAACTTTCTTTGACGTTAGTTCGATCAGCTGACCTTTTGACAGACACTTTCACTTTAAAATTAAGAGTTAGACGCATTGAAGACTTTAACGACCAAAAGGTGAAATTAGTAAAATTTACTAGTCTGCTTCAACCGTTAACTGCGACTGTGGACTACGACAGCGACGTTGTAATTTTGGACTGATTCCTTTGCCCCTTTCATTTTCCTATAATCTCCTAAAATGACGACATGAATCAAAATGACAATTGCTATTGGAGACGAACGTGACTTTCTGTATCTACCACCATACATAACTATAGAAACAGACAAACTACAAAACGGAACGTTGAATATCCCCATTGACTTACTGACAAAGTGTAATTATATTCCGCAATATAACCTTAACGCTAACTGCACTATACAAGGAGACTTGGACGACGACTATATTAACAACACGCTGGTCCAGATTTTGGGCGAGGTTTATTTGCCAATAAACGGAGAAGAAATTTGTTTCAAGGTAGTAGAATCGCAAGACGCTACGTTGTGCGATTTAGGACAAGGTATCTTTGGTTTTGAAGGATTGTTAGAACTTGAATATATCCCTAGTTCCGTTCCTTAAACCCCTTTCCACAACCGAGATGAAAATTTTGAGGCTACTGGCAATTTAAGGCATAAAGCCCTTTTAAAATAATTTTATTTATTCTAAAAGAATACTAACTCTTTTACGCTGGTTGCAAGTACAAAACCGAATGACTGGAAAATTCCTCGGCTGTATCCGAGCGATTTTCCGAAAGAAAAATCGAGATCAAAAGAAGATTCAAATTTTCTTTTCATTTCCTTACACTCAGGAAGCGCTGGCCAAAGTACTAGTCACCCGTTTTGGAAAGCCCCTCGGCCGCGTTTGTAAACCATTTTTGCCAAAAAGAAGGAAGGCATTGCCTCTTCAGAATTGAGTCCGAAATTTTCCTCTAATAAATTAGTTTAAGTATTATCCTTTCTTATCTCTCCACCATAGATAATTCTGTTTGTTCCTTGAATTTTTTTTAAATAAAATGCCTTCCGGTCCATCAAAGCCAAAGAGAGGCAAGAAATCAGGGCTCAAGCATACCCAGAAATCAGGAATCAAAGCAGGTTCAGAAATATTTTATAAGCTAACACACCCAACAATCAAAATTCGTCCAGTGTGTTCGGTTAAACCTACTCCCAGACTAATTCCAGTTATTATTCCACCTGCCCCTGTTGTAGTCCCAATCGTACACGAGATCATAGACTTAGACGTGGAACAAGCTCTGGCACTCAGACAGACTGCATACACACAGGAAAATCACATGCGACCAGGGCCCAATAACGAACACCTAGAACAGCTATATGAATCTGACACGACTGTAGATTATGACAGCGACATTATGATTTTAGACTAACACCTATAATGTGCGATCAGAAATCAATCCCTAACGTAGTCCCTAAGCTAGAACTCCAACGTCCCATTTTTGAAAACGAGATTCCCCCACTCCCAGGAGTTATCCCTATAGAAGTAGTTAGAATACGGAGATCTATAGAGGAAATCTGGGATTTAAAACGGAGACAAATCAACGACGAGATACCTCCACCCCCTGGAGTTATCCCTATAAAAATAGTCAAAGTAGAAAGCGCTTGGAGAGAAGTTGAGAATGAAATCCCTCCACCCCCTGGAGTTATCCCTATAGAAGTAATCAAAATACGAAGAGCTATAGAAGAAATCTGGAATTCAAAACGTCTGAGACTCTAAAGTTTGATTGTTTTATCAAATACCAGAAATATTTTTTTTACAGTTAGAAATTCCCAAGTCTAAAGAAAATAAAACAATCAACCAAAAAGTAAGACTCATTAAAGCCCCTACACACTGTTGGAAATATGTATGTGAATTTTCAATGGCATGTAAGTGAAGTCCATATCAATACGTGTAATTGAATATTCGATAACATTGAGCTGAAAATTGAATAACATTGAATTGAAAATTGAATAATATGGAATTGAAAATGCAATAGCATTTAATTGGAAATTTAATTACATAGAGTTGAAAATTGAAGAACCCAGATTTGAAAATTTATTAAAGTTTAACTAAACAATTAAATTTGAATTTTTATTTTTAGTAAGAGTTTTAAATTTTCAACAACACAGTAATGACTTTTAATAGTACTGAATTTTTAATAAGAGTAATGAATTTTCAATAATAGTCAGTTTTTTTTTTTGCGAACCAATGAATATTTACTTCGGGTTCTTTAGTTTTCAATTCTTTTCTAACAGTGCATTCACGAGGCAGCCTCCTTAAGCAGAGAGGAATCCTTTTACTATGAGCGGATTTTCCTCTTAATATTTGCGTGGGAGGAATTCTTTTCTATTAAGTGGAAATTCCTTTGGATTGTGTCCTTTGACTATTAAAACTTTTTTTTTGACTGAAATTTATAAAACTTTTGAAATTAAATTAAATAAAAATAAAATAATAATAGCACAAGCCTGCAAATAATAATATTATATTGATAGGCAGGTTAAATTTTTAAGAATAAAAACTAAAACTCTTTCATCATAATTTCGATATATAACCTTTAACAACTTTAAAAAAAAATATATATATATATATTTTTTTTTTAGAATTCTTGAATGTAATTATGTTGTGTTGTTGTATCTATGTGAATATAATTGTATTATATTATATTATATTGTTATATCCAAAAATTGTTAATATTTTATTTTAACTTTTTACACTGCTTATTTTGTTAAATAATTTTATTTTATTATCACATATTATTAAGATTCCTTACGATTAGATTATTCTTGCTTGTAGTTAAGGGACGCGATTTAAAAAGGAAAATAGTTCTGTCATTTCTGTTAGTGTAGTTTCCTCCCAACATCAGACACAACTCTAGGCTACGATAGTGACGTTATAACTTTGGGTTAGCTCTTATCTTTCCATTGATTAACCTCCGGGTAGCAATTAGCAGGAAAAATCCGCGGTGGCGACGCGACACGCGAATTTTGTTCACTGTCAAGCAACATCCTTTTCACCTTGATTAAGATTATTATACACTCGTATTTTGTCCGGATCCAGTTGGGTCCGTTGAACAGTCTTAATACAAACTCAACTAAATTCAGTGAATTGGAATCTGAGTCCACACTTGATCAAAGCAAGCGTATTGAGACTACAGATATTACCAACCGCCTGGTCTTAGCATTTGGAACTATCGAGCTCACAATTCTCGATGTTCCAATTAAGATTTAAGTTTTATACTAACTTCAATTTCCTTTTAGGGGAAGAAGAAAAAAAAAAAAAAAAAAAAGGGGGAATGTCAACATTATGGTTTAACATCTTTCTCACTTCGGGCACACCTTTCCATTCCAGTCCTAGACGATGAGCAGCATGCTCTGAGCATTTTTGACGCCTTTAAAAATTGGCTCTAGGATGTATGCTAAAACCCAGGACGTGACGATTCCTAGGACAACCTCCAGATCAGGCCAAGGAAGACCAACTATGGAAATTGGTTGTAACAACAATTTGGTTTGGGTTTGGATTTAAAAAAAAAAAAAACAAAAACAAACAAACTATTGTACAACAAGGCAAGTTTTGTAGCTGCCTATAGATAACCACTGCCTAATTATGATTAAAATTAAGTAAGTATTTGTTTCCTAACAGGCAGGTGTTCGTTTGCTTAAATAACATAAATTAAATGTTTATATTTCATATTCCGAATGTTTGCCTGAATCAAGTAAATTTGGATAGGTCAATTGAGTCATGATCAGACTAATAGTTCTAATACTTTTACAACAGCTAATTTTATTTAAAAAAAGGGAGTTTTAATAGTTTTAAATAACTTAATTTTATAATAAACTAATTTTATCAAAATTTTTCTCTCTTCTTGATATTCTTATTTTGCCTTAACCAATACATTATTTACATCAAATAAATTGGTTTACTTAAAGTGACAAAAGATATCGATTGTATCGAATAATTTTATTTACATCAAATATTCAATTATCTCAATTCAATTTAACCTAGTATGGTTAATTTGATTCAGCCGATTTGGTCAATTAAATTTGACTTAATCTAGCCTGGTTTGGTTGGTTAAGTTCAGTCAGGCTTGATTTAGTTTGATTGGTTGGTTTAATTAAATAAATTTAACTTAGTTTATTTTAGTTTAACTTGGTACAGTTAGCCAAATTTTATTTAGTCGTAAATGATAACTAAAATAATTAATTCTGCATTATCTTTCTACATAGTCATGACACAAATCTTATTTGATTGAAGCAACCGATTACTTGTCTGTTATCAAATACAATCTTACATCTATCATCTATTATTTTATCAATTTTTAATTTTGCATTATTTGAAGTAATGTCTTCTTTAAAAATGTTTAAATTACTGACCAAAATAGAATTATTTTATCATTCTTTGGTTAACATTGAACCGAAAACAGTAACGATTTTGGAATGTAAAAATTCTCATGTCCAATCAAAACTCTTCTTTTCTCTGTTATTTGCTATTATTATTTGTTATTTTAATTCTTACCGTTACCGCTTGCTGTTCTCCTTCCAGTAGTAAAATTTATAACGATACTTTTATTTTATTTTTTTTAATTTTTTTTGATCATATTTAATAAAGGCTTAATTAATTAAAAAAAAACTTATAGTTAAAAAAAAAAAGAAGAAGGTTATACGTTAATATAATTAATTAAAATTTAACTAAAAGTAATTAAATCGATCTGTCCTATTACTATTATTACTACATTACACTAGTGCGCCCTCAGTGGTATAATCGAGCCCTTCTTCTTTGTTCTCGGCGTGCTTGCCTTCCCTCGGCTAGCGAACGATGGCCCACAGTCTCCCAGGCCTCGTCAACCGGAACGTCATAGCACTAAAATATATATATATATGTGTATATGTATGTGTATATAAATGGAAATACACATGCATGCATGTATGTATGTATGTGTGCATGAGTATGTGTATGTATGTGCATTTACATCCTACCACCTTGTACATAATCAGTTTCATAATTGATATAAAGCTCACCAATTGCCAGCGGGAACGAAAGTTCACCATTCCTCTATCCACGGGTATGAATTCCTCTATAAACGAGAGGAAAAGCTCCTCTCGCACAGTATAAGCCCCATAACGCGGTGGAGAACGAGCCAAGAGGTCCTTCAAAACACTAAAAAAAAAAAAAGGAAGAGATTCCCTTACTAGAGCTAATGCCCTTGCTTTAATCCCGATGAATCAGGTTTCTTAAAAGAAAAACACTTACATCTCTTCTTCCTCGACGCGGCTGAATTCCCCTCCCACCATGATTCTGACACGGTCATCTAAGATCTTGATCATGGCCGGATCCCGGAAAGCGCCCTAACAAAAACATTTTGCAATTAATTTGATAAAAAAAAAAAGAGAAGAGAAAGAAAATTGTATGAGCTAATTTTCTTACTGTTGCCCAAAAACCCCTGCATAAGTACTGCTCGGTATCTCTCTGCCAATAATATTCTTGGCGCCAGATCATTAAACAGTATTTCTTGGGCGGACTGTTCTGAAGGAGTTTTTCATTGAAATCCCACCCCAGATTGGGATTTCTTCTCAGGGGTGCAGGAATCCAATCGCCATATTCTACGGCAATTCTAAAAAAAAAAAAAGAAGAAATAAATAATTTGAACAAAATTTTGAAACCACTCCAAAAAAAAAAGTAGAATTGGAAAATTTTTTTTGAATTGAAAAAAAAAAAGTCTGTTGTTTCCTTAAAAATTATTGAATTATTAAAGAATCTTGTAGGTAAATATTCTCATTGTTTTTATTGAAATCGCGGTGTAATTTTTTTTGCAAAATGCGCTTGATGCAACTTACGAAGAAGTTGGAGGAGTAGAATAGCTTGTCAAAGCTGATAGAAGAATAAGGATCTTATATTGAATTCTATAAATCAATTTAACGAATGATTAAGAAAACTGTATAGAAAGAAATGAAGAATTTATTCTGGCCCAGAATATCCAAAGGTCTTCATAAGAATAATAGTAACAATTGTCCATATTTTTTTTCAAATAGAATAATTAAAATTTAAAAAAAAAAACATAAACAAAAAAAAAATTTTTTTTTTGTCGTTAATTATTGCAAAATGTTTTGTTAACCCAAATATTCGTATTTTTCAAATAGTTTTATGACAGTATTTTATACAAAAAAAAAAAAATTATTTTTAAATAATGTTTTTAAAATAAAAATTGCAATTTAGTATCAAAAATAAAATTAAAATATAGTTGAAATCACTATGAAAAGAACATTAAAATTAATACAATTTCATGTTTTCATCTTCTAAAAATATTTATTTTCTATAGAGGTTGTGAAGCTTAAAAAAAAATATATATATATATATTATATTCTTTTATTAAAATTTATGAGTTTATCAAGTGGGAGATCGGGAAAAATACGGAATTTGATGGGAATTTAGTACAAGCATGAAAAACTCGAGAAGTTTTTGGAAACTTATAAAATGGAAATGATTTTTTCTCCTGATTCAAATCGTAAAGAAGAGGTTTCACTTGAAATTAAATTATACAAGAATTCTTTAAAGTCGAGAATCGAATTAGAATTTTTAAAAATCGTTATTTTCGTATTATTTGTAGAATAAAAAATATATTATATAATATTTGTATATATGTATACAATATCCCCGGTCAGAATTGGATTGAGCAAAATTTCGCAAAACCTATAGCCCTATTGAATGCGATTTTGAATGATTTATATAAACACAAAATATTTATGCTGCAGGGGGTCAAAAATATAAGATTTTTTTTGCAAGACATTTTTGAAATAATGTCTGTAATCTTTTTAAAACAAAACCAAAAATATTTCTATCGATTTTAGAGCTCTTTTTACGCATTTTTAATGATATTAACAGTTTTAGTGAAACGAATTTCTGACCTTGAAAATTGAAAGCAAACAGTAATTTTTTTTTTTATAAATGAACACTTTCAATTGAATTTTTTAGTTTCTTCTCACTGGGTTGAGGAAATTTTCTCAAAAAAGTGAACGTTGAGAACAGGGCAAAAACTTCAAGCTGGTTAAATTTAGCTCCTTTGCACTGTTTAAGAAAGCGTTTGAAATAATCATTTGAAATTTTTCGTCTTATTTTTTGACATGTACATTTTTTCAAAATTTTATTATTTTTATGGAAAAAAAATCAATTTTTCAAGATAGCAAAATTCTAGTTTCTATTCGCATTTTTCAATTATTCAACAAGGCTATAGGTTGCTCGAATTTGAACCCAGATTAACTCATGTGGAATGCTACACGGGCCTGTGGAAATTTATAAATCAAAATAACATTGTTTTCAGGACAAAATTTTTCTCAGGAACAAATTGATGAAGATGACACTGCACGCCAGAAAAATGCAGTAGATCATGAACCGCAGAATGAAGAGAGTGATTTTCGAAATTTGATGATCATTGATGAATATTGGGATGTATCAGAAACCGAAAATATGAGTCAAATCGACGTTTCGAGGGAAGAAACATTTCCGAAACAAGTTTCCCATATCGTCGTTAAGGGAAATACACTGTTGAAAACATCAAACTCTTTTGTTGATGAAATTCAACACGGAACTAGTGTCAACGACTCAAATTTACTCTCGACATTATCAAACTTTGATCCTGCAGTATATGAAGATGGAAAAATGGGACCTGAAACATATTCCAAACAAACTATCACTGATTCTCACAAAGTATCTTCGACATATCCAGGGCCATCTTCGACATTGTCAAACTTTGCTCGTGAAGAACCTGAACGTGAAAATGTGGAACCGAAAACATCTTGCAAACCAAAAATCATCGACTCCCAAATACTATCTGCGAAAATACCAATTTCTTCTCAACATTCAGTTAATTGGTCAACATTACCTGCTCGTAAACCAATTTTGATCGACGCTCCAGGGCCATCTTCGACATTGTCAAACTCTGCTAGTGAAGAACCTGGACGTAAAAATGTGGGACTGGAAACATCTTGCAAACCAACTATCGTTGACTCTCAAATACTATCTGCGACAATTCCACGATCTTCTCAACATTCACTTGATTTTCAAAGTATGGGAACAAAAGCATCTACATCAAAAACAACTCATAACAGCTTAAATCTAAAGTCTGCTAAAATTTTTAGGAATGGGAAGCACTATTTACCAACTGCAAATGAAAGTGATGAAGGTGACCTGAATAAAAAACTGCAGGTACTAAAAAGAGCTAGCATTGGTTCGAAGCAAAAAAATACCATTGTGCCACCATTTGATGATTTTGCTCTAAAAAAATTGAATGATAAAAGTAAAAATTCACGGGTTGAAGATGCTATTGTCAGTTGCTCGAGCAAAATAGAAGATCTAATTGCCTTAAATATGAAAGTTGCAGAAAGGAAACTAAACGGAAATACACTGGAATCAAGTAAACAAATGGTATCAGTAGTTTCTACCGACGGTTTTTTGAACCTACTGGAAGAAGATTGGCTCACTCTTTCCGTAGAGCAACAAAAGGAATTATTTCCTTTATTTCTGGATGAAATGGATCGTTTACGAGAAGGATAAACCCTTTTATATTATTCCAATTTGCGTTAATTTTTTTATTCATGTTTTGTCTTTTATTATAATTGACTCTAAAACTCTAAGTGTGTCAAATATATATTTTTTGTTGCTCAATATTTATAGTACTTTAAAATATTTTAGGTATTTATAAATGAAAATTTGAGACTGAGTTAATTATTACGTTATATTGAAAGAGGTTAAAAAATTATAGAATTCATCGTTCCTGTTATTTGTGAGTCACGAATATTTGTTATGATGAAGTTCAACGCGTATTTTATGTTTCTTACTTAGTGTGTAACCTTTTAAGTGATTTCAGTATTAAAAAATTAAAAGTTAAGATTAGGTCAAATATTAAGTCTTAAGAAAAAAAGATTTAATAATAAAAATACAGATTAATATTTCAATCGATATCATAACAACAATAATTTAAGAAATGAATTTTCTAGTATTATTTTTGCACAGTTCATTCATCACATGATTTGAAATATCATTCGTTTTAATATATAAAAAGTTTTAAAATTGTCGATTTCAAATACACATTTCACTTTATTTATCGCCAAAAACATTGATTTAAAAAACATTAACATTTCAAACCTCACGACTGTCTAGTCGCGTTATATGTATTTTGTGTCATAATTCAAATTTTAACGAAGTCGAAATTAAAAAAAAACAATTTTATTTTATTTAACAAAATGAAAATTGTATTACATTACAATGTATTAAAGCAAAATTTTTTCAAATTGAAATAAAAACATTGTTACTTTGACGTTCATATTCAATTATTGAATTTTTTCCTTAATATGAATTTTCTGATATTTGCTAATACTAATTTTATTAAAAATGACTAATCAGTCTTCAAAAAAGTAGAATAAAGTAAACTTAAAGTGCAACGAATTAAAAAAAGGAAATTATTGAACTGAACTACTTAAATTGTTGTAAGATCAGGCCTTGAATCTTTTTTTAGACATTAAGAAAGAAGATTCAGTTGAATTGCATGAAAAAAATCCAGTTTTAATGCATATTAATAACAACAAAATTCTGTTCTCAAATTTTAGAAGAGCTGCAAAGTAAAATAAAAATATTGCATTTAATTAAAAACATCAATGTTGTAAGATGAATCAAAAAACTTTTAAATTATTAAAATATGTAGAAGAAAGTTGCAAAGAATTGCGGTATCCAACTGTGAAGTGCGCGACTAGCATAATAAAAATGTCAAATTTACTCTACGTAAAATTTGTGATCAATTTGAATTACGAGAACCTTGAAGATCATATTTCAAAATTTTTCAAATATTTACATGAAACACAATATTCTATTATTTCTTCTAATATTCAATGATGAACAAAGTAATTGGATAATAAATTTCTCAATGCATTCGCGTCAACATCGTCATTACCGATTATATTGTCACGATCATTCAAAAGATTCTCGACTTCATTTTCTGCTGCCCTATTTTCCCGAATGAATTGGTCCATTTGTCTTTCAGGAAAATATTGTCGAAATTCTTCATCATCAGACAATTCTCTCGTTATTATATAATTGTGCAGACAGACTAATGATTGAACTACAGCGATCGATGTTTCAAGCTTGAAAGACATTTTCGATTGCAAAATTTTCCATCGAGCTGCTAGGATTCCAAATGCGCATTCTATAGTCTGTCGTGCATGAGATAATCTGCAAGAAGTAATATGGTTTTATAAGTACTAAAAAAGGTACCAAGAAGAAATAAAAAATGACCTTGTTCAATTTCTTTATTATTATGTACAGAAAAGGATTTTAACCTTATATGCATAAGAAAATTTTTTTAAACTGAAAAATAACTAGAAAGCGGTTAATTATGGGGAATTCAATATAACTCATTTAAATTGATAGAAAATTTAACAGAATATGATAATATTCGAATCAGTAAATTTCTACTGATGAAGTAATAAAATCAGAGTTCCAGAATCAAATTACGTTAATAATTAAAATCGAATTTTTACTAATGAAAAAAAAGTAGAACAATAATTATTGAAGAATATTTGTTTTCTTATTACTTACCGGTAATTGAACAATTCTTGTAAGGGTGTAAGGGGTCGATTTCGCTTGTACGGCACAATCATGTACGGCCTTAGTGTGAAAATCCCGTCTCCTATGATGAAATGAGTCGAAATGTCATGTGAGTGTGGTAGGTAGGTTGGATTGGGTAAATTGGCCAAATTATTTTCCAACATCCGATAAAATTCAGTATGTTGGAAGGCCGAAACATCGCTTACACCACCTATAATTAAAAGCAAAAAGATCTTTATTGTAATTTTATTATTCGCAGGTACAGATTGAGTAGAAATACCCTATATCTAATGAAGAGTTTTTTTATACTTACCATAATCTCCAATATCTACCCAAGAGAATCGGCAAAAAGCATCACACATGGCCATTAGTTTAAAACTGTGAAACCTTTTATAATTAAAATAACGGCTACCAGAATTTGGTGGTGCTTTTATTCGGATCTCTTTGCCGTCCATAGCTCCAATGCAATTTGGCATATCCCATTTTGCTCGAAAACCTTGGGCAGTTACCATCCAATCTTCAGCAACTAGATTTCCTTTTAAGTACAAAGGTTGTAAACATTCCCAGATAACTGGACAAACTTCAGCAATTATGCTGTAAGCAGTTGACAAACCTATTCGAAATAAGTTGCTAGTGCTGTAGAAACTATCACCATGGGCTAAGATACTGACATGAAATCATAAAATTATATCAATTGCGTTAATTTAAAATTATAACATTCTGTAATAAATGCATAGAACAATAGATTAAAAAAAAACAATGCACATTTTGCTACATGATACATTCACTGCCAATATATAGATTTAATAAGTTATTGTTTGGATTCAAAATTTATACGATTTCAAATTCAAGGCAAATTTTAGGTATATAAGTAATGAATAATTTGAATTTTCAGGGTTGCCACAAATATTTAATTTTATTTTTCCCTGATTTCCAGAAAAAATTTCACTTTTTCCCTGACCCTAAAGAATATTCTGATTCACTCTAAAAATTATTAGATACTCAAAAAAAATGTTCTATTACATTTATTTACAAACTTCTTTAATAGTAAAATTATTTTAAAACATCAATATAACTTCTTTCTTAAATAAATATTTAATCATTATTATTTTTCTTTAGGAAATAAAATTCTTCAAAATATTCTAATTTAAACCATTTTGAAATGCAACAACTTATAAGAATATTATTACAAAACATGAAGAAGACGATTACTCCGAGTGGAAGACTCGGAGTGATCGTCTTCTTCATGTTTTGTAATTATTTACATTGCCATAAAATTTTTTAAAGTAAGTTAATTATTTATAAAAATCCTAAAAATAATCCTTCGCAAAAATTCAATTATTTTTACAAGAAGTACAATTTTACAAAAAAAATCAATTTTAAAAAAAAATGTAATAAAATTCGTTGCAATAATTCAATTATTTTTATAAATAATAATAAATCGATTATTCGTTTATTCATTTTTAAATCAACTTTTATTAGAAAATTCTAAAAAAATTAAATTATTTAAATTAAAAAATAAATAATTTATTGAATAATTGAATGTTTGTTAAAATTGAATTCTCATAAAGAATTTTATCAATAAAATTTTAAGTAATTGAATTCATTTGACAAATTTTAATAATATTTTTAAGAATAATTTCATTTATCGAGGAATTTGATTAAAATATTGGATAACAAATAATTCATAAAAATAATAATTAAATAAATAATTAAAATTTTCATAAAATAATTGAATGTCGGAGAAAAATTTTATTATTTATATAAATAATTGAATTCTTACAACGAATTTTATTCAAGTTTATAAAAATAATTGAATTTCAGTGAAGAATTTTATTATTTACAAAAATAATTGAATTCATGACAATATTTTATAAAAATCTTTTTATATAATTGATATTTTTCGAAAAATTTTATGAAATTTTGTATTTTAAATAACTGAATTCCTGTGAAAATTTTATTACTTATGAAAATAATTGAATTATTTCAAAGAAATTTATTAAATATTGAATAATTGAATTCCTGTGGAATTTTTACAAGAATTTTATTAAAATTTTTAAAAATAATTGAATTTCGAAGAAGAATTTTATTATTTATAAAAGATAATTGAAATTTTGACAAGAATCTATTTTTAATTTTTGAACATAATTAAAATTTTGCGAAGAATTTTTGTAACTTTTGAAAACAATTGAATTTCTGTAATCATTTGTAACTTTTACAAAATCCAATTTTTTTTAGTATTTTTAACTGAAATTCTTCTATCAATCTAGTATTTATGAAAATTGTAAAAATTATTTATAAAATAATTTGTAAGTCATAATTTTATGATAGTTTTTGAAAAATTAAGTTATTTAAAATAAATTATTGTCAGAAATTTAAAAAATTGAAGGTTTTGTATTAAAATTCGAGGTAATATCATAATTTACGAGGCAAAAAGGAAAAAAATTCAGAGTTTTCTCATGAATTTTAAAAATTTAATTTTTTCCAGTACTTTTAGTAAAAATCCCTGACTTTTCCCTGATTTCCCTGACCTGTGGCAACCCTGATTTTCTATACTAAATATTTTTGAAAAAATTCAAGAAAATTATAGCAAACATTTTATAAGGCATGGCGAATACTAACCTCAAAGTAACAACCAAGCGAAGCCTCGTAGACAATGGCTTTCTTAAACTGCGTTTTTCGAGCCGGTGTTGTATTAATTGGTGTAATTCCTCGAATTGTTGGACACTCATTCTCACCATTTTTCTAAAACTTTCGTGGTCCTGCATTAAAAAGTTCTCAAAAAGAGCATCGTAAGCTCCAAAAATTTCCCTCATTTGAACTCGAATATGAGGCTTAACCCACCATCGACGAAACACTTCCTTGTTAATACTTAGATACATACGAATTAAATTGAACCACTGTATAAAGATGAAGAGGAATGTCATGAAATCTTCCATTTTTTAAAAAATAAAAAACGATTTAGTTAATTATTAGCAATCACAAAATATAAGCACTAACCAAACTAGGCCTATACTAAACACTAAACTGCATGAACTTTTAGCAGTTGGCAACACTACATTAGTGACGTCAGAACCAACGCGCGCGTAAGCTTTGCGTGAACGTTGCGCGCGTGTCAACCTTACGTATATCCATTCTGGAATCGGCCTTAGGTCTTCGTTAATTACAGGAATGCTGACTATTTGCTTGGTTCTTGCTTTAATTCTCAATATTCTGGGTACCGGTTTTACTTCCTTTTTTAGTTTTATCTTTTCTTTATTCGATTCCGGATCTATAAAAGGAATTGGATCTACCGGCTTAGATTGTGTTACTAACGCATTATAGAAAAATGAAACTGATGCCCTTTCCTCTCTTAGTAATGGTCTTCCTAGAATTCGTATGTATGTAAGTGCAGTTGTTAAATCCACGGGGTCATGACGGTCTACTGATCCTGAAATGTCATCGGGTAACGCGTCAATGAATGCTCTGAGAGCTGTCTGATTAAATGGCCTCATAATAATAGCTATTTCCGCCTGGTTATACGTTGGATATAAAGCAGCTTTACATCCACTTGAATATGATGTTAATCTATCATATAAGTCATTTACGCTTTCTTCTCTGTACATTTTTAAATTTATTATTTGAACGAAATAGGCTTCATATGGTTGACCCGTTGCAAAACGTTCCTTTAACGTGTCTATAAGTTCCCCTATTCCAGCGAAATTTTTTCCTTTAGCGCAATCTCTTGCACTGCCCTTAAGTTTACATAGAATTTCCGAAATTAGGTCGGCTTCACAAGTTGCGTTGATTTTTGAGGCGGCATATACTATGTCCTGAATAAACTCCTTGACTGACATATTTGAACCATCGTAATCGGGTACATGCTTCATGGCTCTTTCCATAGACATGTCATTTTTTAAAGATTGAACTACCACTACTGTAGCGTTTTTCTCATTAACTATTTCTACTGGTCGTTGAGCCTGTACTACCCGAGGCAAATTTATATCTACCCTGTTTCTCATTGTATCCGCTACAGTTGCATTATGAGGATCCTGTACTTCTTGTACTTCTCCCCTATCGTGTGGAGGTTGATTTCCTCCATTTGGAACCACGTTTCCGTCGTTTATTTTGTATATATATATATTTTTTTAAAAAATTGGCAAAAAAAAATAAAAAAAAAATAAAAAAAACCCTCTTTCTTATATGTTTAAAAAATACCAAAAATTCGCGTATACTGAAAGATGAGATATCCACCCTAAACTTTCGGCCTGTTTCCAACCTATTATAGCCTACTTGAAAATAAGTTTCTTGTCCTTGCACATCAATTATTATTCCCCCTATGATTATGCCCACCAATTATTTTTGGGCTTTCTAGAACTACTTTAGATCTTTCTGGTATGTTCTCGTTTACAACCATGAAAAATATAGATTAAATAAGAAATAAAACAACACTAACTCTAGATTCTCGACAGAAATTAATGATAAAAAAAACTAAAATTAAAAGCTTCCTTATAAATAAAGTTGATTTAATCGTTCAGTAATTTGCTCTATATCTTTTTTATTCACTCTTATCCTGTAATCTGTTCCTCTAATCGTACACTCTACTAAATTTAAAGACCGTTGTGCTTTTTCTAAATTTTTGTTTAATAGTATATATTTTTGTAAAATTTCATGCAAGTTGTATACTGCTGAATCTAGCCTATTATAAAGGTCCGTAGGATTTTTATGCAATAATTGTAAGAATTCTGGTGTCATATGACCAAAGTATAATAAAAATTATCCTAGCTTTAAATTCTTGAACTCTGAAATTAAATTATTAATCTGATCTTGCTTGACTAACAAATCGGATTTAATTTCTTGATTTGATTGTCTTTGTTGGTCACTGCAATCGCTTAAAGCAAATAACCATTTTACTAAAAATATACCACGTTTCTCTACCCTTTCGATATTACGCTCTAAAATTCTACACTGCAAAGACAGTCTTTGACTGAATTCTTCCACGGATTCTATTCTTTCTTTTATCTCACTTATATCGTCATGAGAGAAACCTGTTACAATTCTATTAATTGTCGGAAACATTAAAATAAAAATAAAATTAAAGTATTATTAATTTGTCATAGTTTTTTTAGATAATAATTCTTAACTTATATTTTTTTTAAAAAATGTATCTTAATATTATTCTTTTGAATATATACTTCTAAAATGACCAGGAACTACCTTGAACTTGTAATTTTACTCTTTTTATTCGGTCAGCACTTTTTACTTGAAGGAGTAAATTTAATATTTCCTTTATAATTTCCTGTTTTTAATGTACCGGAAAAATGATTTTTATTAAATATTAGAGACAAACTTTGTTTTTTTTTGTTTCTTTTAAATCAAGTGATGAATTTGTATCTTTTATTCACTTATTCTAAATTCTCGATGTTCCGATAGTACTAGTATGTTTTCCTTACTATTTTGTTTTTAAACAAAATGTTATATTCAAATTTTAAACCATATAAATATAATAAAAAAATTATTAGGTTATTATTCTCTTATATAAAAGGAAACTTAATTATTGCATATATTTTTTTTTATTACAAAACTTTAATTAATTAATTTTAGAATTAAACTAAGTCAGTAAAGTATTTCCGCCGCTGGTTGTCCACTGCCGAACATTATCGATGTCTTCGATGTGCTGGGAGATGTGGATTTATATCCACTGCCAGACATGATTGACATCATGGATATGTTCGGTAGACCTTGTCGTGGTGGCGGGGCTTTCAACTAAAGGACAACCAAACAGCAAGAAAAAATGAATTCAAAAAATTCTGAGAAGGTACCCCATGTGAGCAGGCCGGAAACGGGAAATCTCACCATCGGTCCCAGGACCGATGCTCAAGTGCGCGCGGATTGTGGGGGCGCACAATTTCTTGCAGTGCCACGAGTGATCGTGGAAAGGGTAGATCCACAGCACATCGTGGAAAATAAAAAAACGAGGAAAGGAAGCACGTCGAGCCTTCTGAGTGTGTCAAGCTGCAGTAGCGGAAAAACCGTTCATAGCGCTATCCACTTATAAGTAGACGACGAGGCGATAGAAGAGACTCGCGAGATATGCTTGCGGCTCAGAAAGGAGGAGGCGACTTGTCTCGAAAAAATGGAGTTGGAGGTCGCAAAGATGATAAAATCTTGCGACATTCAGAAGACCGTCAATAGGACGGTAAAGGATGGACTAAAGGTCATCGACGTCCTGCTAAAGGAGGCAAGGGCAAAGCATGCCGCGGCCGATGAGTCGGACGTCGATTTGGCATGCGTTCTGAGCGGTGCGGAATGCAACCGCAAGGACCGTAAGAAAGAGAGAGAGCGTTTCTATAGGCGTAATCTCAAAAGCGTCTTAAGAGATGCTCAGAAACGGAAGAGAGAGGGTGACAGTCCAGAAGAGACTCGAACCAAAACCGATAAGAGGAAGAAGGAGGAAGCTCCTCTAATGGAAACGGAAGTACCAGATCCAAAGATTCCTGAATTGGAAAGAATTGGGTTAAAAAGATCCACAGTTCTAATCCGAGTCGGTGAAGGGTTGACGTATGCTGACGTTCTGGGTAAGCTTCGCAAAGAGGTCAACCCAGAGGACAGCCATACGAGAATAGTAGCAGCAAAAGCTACAAACAAGGGGGACCTTCTGATTAAGTTCAGAGGAGACTCCGATAAGGACGCTTTCACCGCTGAGGTCACCAAGGCGGTTGGAAGCATGGGTAAGGTGCAGTCATTGGATCGAAGAGTTACACTCGAGATCCGTGATTTGGATTGCCTTACCCAAGAAGCTGAGGTGCAACAAGTGTTGTCTGAAGCAATGGGTAAGACAGTAAACAGGAGAGTGACGGTCTTAGGACCCAACCGCCGAGGGATGAAGCTCGCGGTTGTAGTCACCAACCTGGAAGAGGCGAACAGGCTGGAGAAATTGGGACACGTAAAAATTGGTTTTATGTGTTGCCCAATCAAAAGAAGAGTAATGGTCGTCCGGTGTCATCGATGCCTGGGATACGGCCATATTGGAGCCAAATGCCAGAAGGAGGACAGATCGCAAGGACTAAAAGTAAATAAGGAATATTAAAAGGAGCGAATAATTTTTAATTATTTATTTTATTTATTTAAATAGTTTTAAATTTTTAAAACCCTCGAAGGCTAAAGTCTTACGACAGTTCCGAGGGAAGGTAAAGGACTCCAGAAGAAGGGTTACGGGTTTTAGTGGGTCGGGCTGGCAGTAGGTCGCCAGTTTATTAAATTTTCTATTTTATATATTTATTTTTCTTTTTCTTTTTTCTTTTTTTTATATTTCCTTTTGTTTTATCACACCAACCCCACATAACCTTGGAGTGCGGAATCCAAGGTATCTGTAGGCAGATTTCCTAAAATTCCCTAAGCAAAAAAAAAGTCAGTAAAGTATCAAATTTCATTTATAATTCGCTTGCTTTAACTTGTTTCGTAATTCGCATATAATATTAAATTATTATTTATTATTTATTTATTAAATTATTATTATTATTTATTTATTATTATTATTTTATTATTTATTATTATTTTATTATTTTATTATTAGTACATTGGATTTAAATCCAATATAGAAAATTTTATTAAACGTTTATTTATAGAGAAATATTTTAATTTATTAATAAACAATTTTATGTTATTATTTTCTTTAAATTAAAAAAAATGATTTAGTTATATATATATATATATATATATATATATATATATATATATATATATATATATATATATATATATATATATATATATATATATATATATATATACCAGTAATATGAAAATCTGATTTCATTACTTAAAGTTCTATATATTATTTCATAGCTTTTCTTTCATCATTAATTAGATTATATTTAACTTCTATTCCGTGGAAGGAAACTTTCATCGACTTTAAAAATAATTTTATAAAAAATGAATTTTGACTCTAGCTAACTAATAATTTTAGTCCTCTCACTTGTTCAAGTGTCCTACGCACTTCCAACAAGGTTGTTTTTTTATTTGAGGAATAGGGGCTGCTTTATTGAGGAAACTACTGCTTGCCGATTGCAAGTGTAGTTATCGTTCCCTAGAAAGTCGACTTTAGCGAGTAAAAAAAAATATCTAGAATTCACACTTTTCTCAGATTCAGTATCTCTGAATAACAAAATTTATTTCTGAAACGAAAGATTTCATTAACAACAATTTCATTTATATAACTAATTGGTGCATCAGCACGAAATTCAATTAAATGTGTATTTGCGTTTTGTGTAATTGTATAAGTGTCAAAAAAATATTTTCTTCTGAAAATAACTATTTCCTACCTTTATAAATTTTTATTCTTTCAACAAAATATAAAAAAGAAATCCCACCGCTGCCACCATTTTGTTATGTTTAAATTCAATTGTTTATGATTTAAATATTATTTATTTGAAAGATTTTATATTTTAAACGAATTCAGACTTAACTGTATTAACCCTTAAACCGCACACTGCCGAATCCATCCTTAAACCGCACACTGGGTGTGCGACACCCGGGGACTTTTAAGTGTGTTCTCCAAGCTGGAATAGGATATTATCTTTTGGAAAAATTATCTTATATAGCTCAGTACATCTATTTTGAAGGAAAATAAGTTTCATAATGATTTATTTAATTTTAATAATTAAAAAAGAGTTTTTTTAAACTACTGAAATTACCCTGAACCAAAAACTGGGTGTCAAACAAGCAGAAATTTTTCGCCGACAACTTCATAAAGTTATCAAATACACAAAGACACTTGGGAGACTAATGTCCCTCACGGAACATAAACTTAAGTACAAAATGTATCGTCCAATAACGACACATGTTCAATTTTTACGAATTTAACCGAAATATTAGAGTAAAAAGCTAGAATATGGGTGTCGCACACCCAGGGTGCGGTTTAAGGGTTAAAAAGAATTTTTAATAGTCTTAAGTCAAATAAAAAAACACTTAATATTTTATAGTAAGAAATGAATGTTGAATTTATTTCGAATAAATACTGTATTAAAAATTTAGGATCCCCCCTTTAAGTACGTTATTAGTTCAACGTCTCCGATTAGACGGTATTTTAATTAAAAGAAGTAAGAAAAAGGAAAAGGTGGCAATAGTAAGGTAGAACTTCAATAAAACCGAAAAAAAAAAAAAATAAAAAAAAAATAAAACCGAAATATTAGAGTAAAAAGCTAGAATATGGGTGTCGCACACCCAGGGTGCGGTTTAAGGGTTAAAAAGAATATTTAATAGTCTTAAGTCAAATAAAAAAACACTTAATATTTTATAGTAAGAAATGAATGTTGAATTTATTTCGAATAAATACTGTATTAAAAATTTAGGATCCCCCCTTTAAGTACGTTATTAGTTCAACGTCTCCGATTAGACGGTATTTTAATTAAAAGAAGTAAGAAAAAGGAAAAGGTGGCAATAGTAAGTTGGAACTTCAATAAAACACTGAGTAATATGAGTAATACAATATTACAAGATTCTATTTATTCAGTATATTTAAAAAGATTTATGTTAATTCTATTACATTTAATATTATCTTATTATTACTACAATGTGTA